TGTTAAAAGGTAGACTTTAACATCCAACTCAGCGTGTTGATCTTGTAAAAGCTGAATCAATTCATACCACATCAACATCTAACATAAACATACGTTATTTTTAGCCTGCATATTTATGTAATACTTGCCGTTGTACGTTTAACACCGATCTATGTGTAGCTGTCGGCATTTTAATTAATGCATGCCATTAGTTTTAATATATTGGCAACACCATGTTTATTATTTTAACGATTCAGTTGTGATGTAGTTTTAAATGAAATATTTTTTTGTGTTATCATTATGTTTGTTTATGCAGTTTTTTATCTCTTGGAGAGGGCTTGCAGATGCTAAGCCTGTTGCACCATCCAAGTTGATATATTTTGAAAAAGAAAAACACATTGCTTAAACAAAACCGGTAATTTTAAATAATTTCAAGTTCAGATCACCGATAAACATATTAGTAGGTTGAAATGACCAATCTTAATGGTAAACTATTTTTGTTTCCTTATGTCATATTTACTTTTATTTTATTGTTGTAACATAATTTAGGTCGTTGCGTGTCTCACTTTATCATGTTGTGTAACACGGTAGGTATAGTGTCATGCTGAGATCGTGTTTTTCGGGTGCATCGGTCCACCTTTTTCGAGTGATATTAAATGCGATCAGACCGATTTATTGCTATTTCGCAAGTATGATAGTTTTTTTCATGACTGTTCATCATATTCTGAATACTATATATATTAAGCACAAACTATGCATAATTTCCTTGAATTTCACTTAAAATTCAGTGTGTTACATTGTCCGGATTTTTTTCGAGAGCTTTATTTAAAACGTCCAGGTTTTTAACAAACGTTCTTCTCTTTGAAGAAAATGTGAGTAAGAAAGCATGCATTACTCTATAACTGTAATTTAGGGAAGAATAATATTGTATATTCCCAATAAGTTACAAAACGTATTACACAAAATGTTACAGTGTTGATCACATTTAACCATTTTCGACTTAATGCTAATTTTCTGTACTGAAAACATTTTACAATAACCTTGCAGTATTACGATATATAAGAAATCACTGGGTCCTTTTTAAAAAACGGTCTTTAGAACCGAATACAGAGACTGATAATCTTTTCAATTTCATTTCATTCTACCTTTGCTTTTGCAATCAATAATATTTTATGATTGATATATATTGCAGTGACGAACCCCTGAGTTTTAAGTTAAGTGTAAGAAAACTAAGGAATAGGAGTGAAAAATCAGAATAATTCAATATGAACACAACTTCTCTACTAAAAGAGCCCTCCCCCCCAAGAAAAAAAAACAAAAAAACAATAACAAAATTTTTTTAGATGATTGATTGTTGGTTGCTTAACGTCCATTGGCAAATATTTCATGCATGTTCAGGACGAGAAGAAATTAACAATAAATACACTAAGTAGGATTTGTTATAGAGGCCGTTCGGTATGAAGGTCTGAAAATTTAGACTGCCACCAGAAAATAGGGTATATTGGATAGGGACAGAAATGTTCCCTTACAACAGGCAAACAACGGATCGACCACTGAAAGATTTGTTCCAAGGGTTCTCAACGTGCAGAGAGAGAGTGCCCGCCCAAATCTGACAGGACGTGACTGCATAAATGTACATCCAGCATAGCCAAACGGACGCCCCACTTTTGCAAGGGTTTTACTGCCGGTCGAAACAGGTCCTAAGTGACCATATTACTGTTCCCGATTCTCCCATGGAGGTAACAAAATTTAAAAAAGATTTGTTTTAAATCATGTCAGTTATCATGTCAGTACTCCTAAAAGATGGGCGCTTTATCAAGCAAGTGACGTTTGGGCAAAAGTGTACAACAAACAGAATAGTGAAAAAGGGGTTAATTATCCAACCTAGAATTCTTTTTGTCCATTTCGACCAATAAATTCGAAATTCGCTGTTTGATTAATTGTGAAAACCATATAGTTCTTAATGAATTATCTGAAACGCTTAGCTTCTGTTAGATATGTTTTTTTTATTATAAAAAGTTCACTCACAAACAAATAAAAGTCCGAAAGACTTTTATGATTTCTTTGTGAGTGACTTGGTCCAGTTTATACTCCAATAAATTCCTTTAAGAATGAGTTTAATCCTTATAATTCTTTAAAATAGGAGATAAGGAATTTAATTTCCACACTCGTAACCTCTATCACACGTAAATTGTATATTTGTGTCATTGAATTGAAATACTTTATCTGTCGAGTCGGTTGGTGTTATCATAGCCGCCATCTTGTTTACATTCGTTACAAAACGTAGTTCCGTCAACGTCGTCTATCGAAAAATAAATAACGTCAAGAGCCACTACCGGAATCCCTCTCCACCAATCATATAAACGTAATCCCTAATATTCAAATCATATAAGAATTATAAGTAGATAAATTTGTTTAATGCAGCTTCAAATAGATTTAGAAATTGGTTTTTTTTTTCAATAGCTGCAAAACCTTAAAAATTAAAGGTTTCATTATCTAAGAGCTAAAAAAAAAGGGAATTGGTTCCAAACTAGCTGCAAAACCTTATAAATTAAAGGTTTCATTATTTAAGAGCTAAAAAAAGGAATTGGTTCCAAACGCAACTCATAATAAACAGTATAAGTACTGCTTATGGTGAGTACAAATTCAGTGATGTTGTAATCGCGGAAATGACGAGAAAAAAAAAAAATCAGTGGTCATCTGTGACACAGATATTTCAAAACGGTCAACCAACTCCAGATGGTATCCGTAAATTTTTCGGAGGGATGACTTCAACTTTACCGTTAGGAACCCTAGGTTCAATAGCATCCTTGCATACAGCCGCGCTCTTTAGGTGAAATACCACCATTGATTTTCCCCTATTAGTCTTTGTTAAATTTGCACTTTTCAAAAAATTGTGCGTAATTTATCTTTGTTTCAAATAAATTGGCATGAGTAAAGTTTTATCCTGTCCAGTACTATAGAAAAAATCTCACATAACATCTCATTGCATATAAGAAAATAACCATCACTGGAAGTTAACCAATCAAATTTTCCCCCTTTTTTAACCTGTGTACAAGCTTTAGTAACCATGTAACCTCAAGTTTCCAAAATTTTCTATAGAAACCCCAAATAAAGAAATAATGGTGCTTTAAAATACCCAAGATATATGTTTATGACTCAGAAATGTTTAACTGCAATGAAATGTAGGATAAATTACCTACAACTGTCAAATTCAAGGGAATATGTTTTTTTCGACCTATTTTCGTATGCAACCGGATGTGACGTACTATGATTTGGTGGTATTACACCTTTAAAGGAAATCGTGATCGATAGGAAACGAAACCTTTGGAATATTGTTTCAACTGGAAGATATATACTCCATATGCAAGCGCTGCAGAAATGTTGCTATGACGAAATGGAAAGTTCGTAATTGGGAAACTGAAATCATATCTTTTGTTGCAAAGTTTGGTTCTCAACCGACCCTATTTGTCAAATTCTAGATGTAAGTCAAGATATGACAGACTAATAAACATAGCTAAATATATATATATATATACAGTTATGAATACCCATGATCCTATATCCTGTCGATACTGTACTCATATTATGGCATTGCACAAGGTCATGCATTTCTCAGACATCTTTACACTAAATCCCTTGAATATATATTGATTGATATTTCAGTCTGGAAGAACATGATTTATTTTTTAGTAGTACAAATGTAAATGCCTTTCAACTAGCATTTAGTAACTACGAGTACTCTTATATGTTTTGTTTCTATTGTTTTTATGTTAGTTGTTTTCTTTTGTTCCGTACCGATCTGTTGAGCTATTTATAGTTTTATAGTTTGTTCTTATGTTGTGCTGTTTAACACTGTCCTGGTATGGTGAAGGGTTAAGCACTTACAAATATGTTTAACCTCGCCACATTCTGTATGAGCCTGTCCCAAGTCTCAAGTCAAGAGCTTGTTATTTAGTGGTGTTCTTTAGTTCATGTCTGTCACATTCATTTTTCGTAAATTCAATTGTAATAAATTATGTTGTTAGTTTTCTCGTTTGAATTGTTTGACATTAATCTTGTTGGGGCATTTTGTAGCTGACCATTTTTATTATTGAAAGCCGTGTGATGACCTGTAATTGCTGACTTATACGTTTAAACGCTGAATGATTGTTATCACATTGGCAATTATACTACATCTACTTTTTTTAATAATAACTGTATGTATTTGTGGTATCCTGTATGTCTATAAGTGATATACAATTATTGTTTTGCATTTCATAAAAGGACCATATTCTGTTTTATCATAAATGATTTCTTTATCAACAAGAGGCCGACAGATGGCTCTAAACAGTCAGGGCGTTACTTAAACAAGTTATTTTTTTTGTTATTTATATAGGTAATTTTTGTTTTCCAAAATTATTACATTACTTAATAGAGTTATTTTAAATTTCAAAAGAAGCAAGGACTAAATGTAGATTTTATGAATTTTACGTCATTTTATTACATAATATTAAGAATTTATTAAATTTTAAAGGAGTGTAGAGATAAAAGGTTAAATTGAAAATAATGACAAAAACATGACTTGTATAAGTTATGTTATACATCTTTGAAAAAAAATAGTAATTAAATTCTTTAAGTAACATTTGTCATATTGTTTTGGGTTACAAATTATAAATAACTGTAATACTAGTTCAGCATAAATAAAAAGCGCACATCTGGAATGGTAACACACAATCGTGACGACAATTTTCTTTTTTGATTAAAAAATTGTGTGTTGTTTCTAATATAAAAACTGAAATATCCCAATTCTTGAAAAGATTTTTTCTCAGTTCATTTGTGGTTAATCGAAATTTTCGATGGATAAATGGATGGGTGTCTACTAAAATTTAAACAAGAAGATGTTGTTTCAATTTGAAAATAAATCATCCTTTGCACTTGACATGTTGACTCGGATCTATAAAATACTAACCAACAACATAAAAGCAGACCGTAATTCGTTTTACCGGATATTATCATTCTTTTTAAATTTGCAGTTCCAGTAAGAGACGTTCACACTAACAAGCAACCAAACCAAAGACAATATGACGGAAAAACTGAAAAAATAAAATTGACGTGCAAAGCCAGTGGAAACCCTGAACCAAAGTACGCATGGTTTAAAGAGGACAACGATACAATCGTAATTTCTAAAACAAATCTCTATGTCATTGAAGATGTTATTCAAAACAACAGTGGAGTATACATCTGTGAAGCTTACAACACTATAAATAGCGTATATTACACACATTCCAATTCAGTAGAAGTTAATATAGGTGCGTTAAGTAAGAAATATAAGATTTTTGTGTTTTAATACGTATTGGTGTGGTCTGTTACACTACGAGTTCAATTGGACTACGATATTTTCCATTCAATTGACGCATAACATTACTTTTTTTTCTTTTGATTTCATTTCCAGTTTAATGCGTCTATCAATTTTATTTATGGATCAAAATTGTAGTCCTTATTTTAAAGGCTAACACTGCATATACATATTTCTTTTATTCTTTATTCATTATATTAATGAATTAAAAAAAAAATTCTGGTAATTTTATTTTGGTGTAACCGAAACACAAGTTGTATTATGTGCAAAAGCGCTTCATAATATAATATGTGCGCACGATCAACGATTTAAAGACCCTTACATATTACAAAAAGAAGCTTACAATTCATATAATTAAATTTTAATGCTATAGCTATAAAAATATGAGTTTAATCAAGTTTGTTTTTACGTTTGCTTATTAACACACCTAAATATGAAAATATGTGAAAAAGATCAGCAGACGTTTAAAATATGTCCATTATACACGTTTTTGAATTTTACTTTTTTTATTTATGAAACGTCTGATGAAAACACATGTTTTCAAGCCAGTGTAATAGACATACGTTTTAAATTTCACGAGTGATGCACGCATAACAGTAGACGTCTATTCTGTCTAAACACCTTGTCATGCTCCTTTGAGTTTCATGCGATTTCCACAGTTTTTGTTTGATTTGATTTATCCCTTTTAATCGATTTAAGTAACAACGATACAATATATTGGATCAAAAGACTTTAAAACTTAATTTTGAGTTTACAATAACGTTTTCCCTGTTTCCAGATACTGATTGAACTGTTAATGCATTCCGCATATTTTTTTTTTTACCTCAAACAGGTATTGGCTCATATATAACTACTATTGTTCAGTAAAAAACGGCGACAGTAGTATACCGGTGTTCAAAAGTCATAAATCGATTGAGGGAAAACAAATCCGGGTTACAAACTAAAACCGAGGGAAACACATCACCTATAAGAGGAAAACAAAGGAACAACAGGAACACTGAAGTGCAACAAAAACAAACGCCAACATACATAAAAACCAACTATTTGATAACAACTACCACATTCCTGACTTGGTACAGCACATTTTAATAAAAAAATATGGTGGTTTGAATCTAGTTTAATGGCTAGCCAAACCTCTCGCTTAATGACAATGTTAAAAAATATCGCTAAAATGACAACACTACGTGACAGAAATACAACACAAACACATGCAAGAACAGTCATCACAGAGAAACGCACAAACTTATAATATAATAGTCGACACAACATGCAAACCGCAGAACAACAACGAACATATTCCATCAACGACAACCACCACAGGATATGAGAAACAATGACGCGCTTATGTAACTAACATGCAATCTCAAACTTTATACAATTATTTTCACAATACCGGTCCAAACAATTTTCATGACAATAATGGTATTGAAAGGCAGTTTTATAATTATTTGGACTACAAACGATAAGACATAACACATTATCCATCCGAAACCATCAAACATCAAAAATAAATACATGAATGTTGGATGTACAAAATACCGAGACACGTCATATAGCAATGCAAATTCACACTCGGTATAACAGTCATATTCGGGAATAGGTCACGTTCGGTACTTAGCAGACAGACGACATAGATGTTAAACCACAATTTAAGACGTAGTAAAAATGTCATTAAAAGAGGGACGAAAGACACCAGAGGGACAGTCAAACTCATAGATCGAAAACAAACTGACAACGCCATGACCAAAAATAAAAAGACAAACAGACAAATAATAGTACAGATGACACAACATAGAAAACTAAAGACTAAGCAACAGGAACCCCACCAAAAACTGGGGGTAAGACATAAAACATTATTCAATTAGTTAGTTTAGACACAGACACATCGTATAGATCAACTAATTCGTGTTGGTGTCAATTAAATTTACGGAGTGTCATTTTTAATCTTTCCTCCTCATAACTCTGTTGGAGCAGTTTCTGCGTAAGGAGCACACTCCTGTATATGAAATCAGTATAGTGTGAACATGATCGAGCATAACGTATCAATTGAGATATGTAAACACCATATGACGGAGCAGAGGGTATGTTACTGCTGAGAAATGGGAAATTGATAATTGGGAAGTTGAAATCATCCCGTTTGTCATAGATTTTAGTGTGAAGTCGTCCATCTGTGTCAATATTGAGGAAAAGATCAAGGTATGAAGCAGTCCGTCTTGAAGTATCCATAATTTCAAGTTCACTTGGAGATATGAGATGCAAGTACTGACTGAAATATGGGTTATTCAGTGATAGGACATCATCAATATATCTGAAAGTAAAATTAAAGAATTGTGCAAGGTGTTTTTCTTTTAGACGGTTCTGAATGAATTCTGCTTCATACGAGTACAAAAAGAAGTCGGCCAGAAGGGGTGCATAGTTAGTACCCATTGGAATACCGACTGTCTGTTGAAATATCTTTCCTTGAAACTCAACAAAAATATTGTCGATTAAAAAGTCCAGCATTTTGATAATATCATCTTCACTGTATTTTCTGATAGAACCAGTGTAGTTCTTTACAAAATAAGAATTATTATAACCAAAAACAAGAAATTTATATCTACGATTCCAATTTTTATAGAAAAAGCTCTGTTTAATGAGATGGTGAAGTCGATCTTTCAATTGAGCAAGGGGAATAGTAGTGTAAAGCGTAGAGCAATCAAAGGTCTAATTTTTTTTATATTGAAGTCCTTATATTGAGCATTAGGAGGACACCATTTGTTTACAGTTAAAGGACAGGTAATACTTTTGCAATTTATTGACGACGCCAAGTATCAGAAAACCTTTTCAATCAATACTCATCTTTTCTAGTCAAGGGTTACGATCCGATCCGCTCCTCATCATTTTTGGTAGATTCAGACATAATCTGTGTATACAGCGTAATGCCATCTAGCGACAGATACAAGTCATGTCCACTCCGATTATATCATAATTGACCAATGACAACACTTGAACTCTTTAGTTCGCAGGTGTAAAAATGACTACACAAATTTGAAACGCAGACAACAGCACTCTATAAATGAAGCATACAATAAGATATTTAACCAAAAGATTACGCTATTTTTATAGAAAAATTATTAATGCTACTAAATGACATATTGATGCATGATTAAGACATGTAAGAGGAAATATTCAAATATGGATTTTTACCATGCATACAGGGGATGAATCAGTGCCAAAAACAGAGCCGGGATCACTAACAATTTTCTCAGGTAATTTATTGTTTTATTTCGCAGTTAACAGATTAAGGAGTATCAAAAGGATTGTTCTACTACTACAACAACAACTACTACTACCACTACTCTTGTCTACGACGACGACTACTACTACTACTACTACACCTCTACTACTACTACACCAACCTTCAACTACTACTAACATTATTTGATTTCTGCAATGGCTATTCTAAATTATAATCTAACAGCACTGTGGTTACAACCTTGGCTTTCCAACTATTATGCATCGAGCGCCATAAATAAGTCTTATTTAGACGAATTCCGGATCTGATGTTACGATTTATAAACTTTTTATATGATGAGTTTTTACAACCTCTGGTTTGATGCCACTGGTGGTAAAGATTTTGTCCTAGAAGGTATCAGTAATGAGCACATCTGTGTTGACATGAAATAAATGGATGCGAATATTTTACTTAAAAGTACTGTTCATTACCTTGAATTATCCTAAACAAAAGGATTTAGACCCACTTATTGATGGCCATATCCGTATATGGTACAACTTTTGGGATTTTGTTTTATTTTCAATGCTCTTAAATCGTTTTTGATTTAGTGTTTCAATATTTTTAATCGAGTGTCAATGGTGAGTCTGTTTAAAATGAAACACTCGACTGATGTTACAAATCATAATCATAGTATCTTTGATGAGTTTTTACACATTAAATTTAGTAGCCGTTTGGTATTTGCAACTGCATGCATTGCCATAAACATTTTGCAGTTTGTAATAGAACAAATGATGTCAAGCTGGTTTATAAAAAAGTAAACATACCCATTTGATATGATATTCAAACCGGATGTACTGATGGATGGCTGGCCTCTTACATCAACATGATTTATACATACTTTACAATTAGAAAACTGCAACTACAGCTCATATATTTGTTTCACTACTGTCTAATTTATATTAACATGAACAACAGGTCATGTTTTGAAACCTTACTCCATCACTTAAAAATTCAACCAAAAAACAGAAAAAGAGATGCATAAATTTCATCAGTATCAGCATTTACGATGGAGCTATTGACACAAGATGACTATTCCCTTTTTAAAAATGGAAAAGATAATGTATTGGTACTGAAAACCGACAAAAAAAAAAATAAGATAAATTACTTCAAGAGATTTTGTAGATTATTTGATATTGACGATACAGTCTTTTTTGCCAATATGAAATGCCAATGAGACGACTCTCTCTCAGAGAACAAATGACGAAGAAGGTAAGCAACTATCGGCCACCGTATGACCTTCAACAAAGAACAAAAACCTTACCGCATAGCAAGCTATCAGAGACCCCGAAATGACAATTGTAAAACAATGCAAAACAAGACATATAACTAGCTGATTTATGTAAAAAAAAAAATACAGAAAAACAAATATGATAAACAACAAGAAACGACAACCATTGAGTTATAGGCTCCTGACTTGGCACAGGCACATACAGAGTGTTGCGGGGTTAAACATTTTTGCGGGCTCGGCAACCCTCGATTTTCAAACAATGACAGTGGTTTAACAGCACAACATAGGATCAAACTATAAACATAAGTTGAAAATTGCTTAAATCATCAGATCGATACAAAGCAGAAAAATAAGTAACAAAAACAAAAAAGTGCAAAAAGTACACACCCAACATCCAATGGATATAGTGTAAAGACGTAATAAACAGTAAGAGAAAAACATGCTTGTGCAATGTCAAAATATAGCTATCGGACATATTAAAGTTACGAAGGAGAGCAATGTGTCAACGGAGGTTTGACAAATGGTCGAAAGAACGGACGGACGGTTAAACAACTCAAAGATCATTATGAACCTTTGCAATAAATGTTTTGATATAACAGTTTATATCGAAACTGACACAAAAAGTTAATTGTAACATATATAATGCACATGTTCTATCTTTATTTTGTTTAATTTTAGTACATGCATCATACGCAATTCCAGTCACTTGTGTAGTCGTTGTTGTTGTCCTATGTTTCGCTGTTAGGAAGCGAAATTGTGACCGAGAAAAAAGAAAGTAAATATTTTTTACGTTGAAATTTCAAAGTAATTCGATCCTTATTGGTTGTGTGTCTGTCTTTGATTCAGGATTTTTATTAATTTATTGGTACAATTTATTGAGTTATCATTTGTAGGCAAAAGTTCAATCCCTTTTTTTTCTTATGTATTTTGTTTTCGTTTTTATCTTATCAATTAAGGAATGGAAACATATATGTGCATTTTAGTTGGTAAAAGACGGTTTTCATAATTTTATAATAAATAAACAAAAAAACAAACAAAAAAAACTCCAAGCTATACCAAGTATCCCTAGGGGAAATTTTTAAATATTTTGGACTCTAGCATCACCGAAGAGACATTATTAAAACGCACAAATGGTGTAGTAAACATGGTGAAATTGGTACCGTTTATAGGATCAAAGAAAGCTATGTTTAACTTAAAGGTAGACGGTTAAAATGTTCTTACAAACAACCTTATATCAATTCATTTCTAAACGATATGCCTCAGTCATGTTATTTCTAAGGTTTCAATTTGAGAAATTGATTTTCAGTGCATCATTCTAATAGTAAGAACTGTCGAGTTTCTAGATATATATATGCGATTTGTATCTACTATTTGAAAAATAAAAATAACTGAAATCAAAGCACACTGGCAAGACGTCTAAACGATTGATCGAGTGAAACACTCCATGAAAGGTCACTTAAAAAGATAGTGTGTCTCATTTACGTATACCCAACATTCATTTCATTCATATAAATTTGACGTAGGCTTATTGCATAGTATTAACGTAAAAAACATTTGAATCTTTTTTTTACTTTACACTCTCATGTAGCCATAAACCGATATCTCAAACGTCAGTATAACAGTTTTTTAACGACAAAGAAAATAAGTAGGAAAACATAGAAAGTAAAGTCTAACATTCAACTTACTTCATCAATAGATGAAACAGAACTAAAAGCAACTTTGATATTAATTTTACTATGATGTTGATGTTTCTAACAAATATAAACGTATTTATATATTAACTTATTATTGTTATGTATTGAATTCATGAACCAAACAGAATCGGTTTCACAAACAAAAAAAAAACTTACGACTAAGATTGATCATTAGTCATGAACAATTCAGTATACTTATGATCAATCTTAGTCGTAAGTTTTTTTTATGAAACTGACTTCTGTGTTGTAACTTATTCAAAGCATAGTATTTTGCTAATATTAAAATACAGAAATGACTTTTTTTATTTTGTTCAGTGTGCCAGCTGTTACCGTTATATATTCAGAGGTCAACGAGCATACAAAGTTGAAAAATAGATTGACGAAGAAGCAAGTGACATCATTGCAGCATAATAGTGTACAATATGATGCAGTGGATGCTGCACACGAAATCTCAAGAGATCCAACACTCAAATATAATATGGTCACAGGAAAGCTAGAAGTATATACGAACGTTTGACCTACTAGTATTTATTTTATTATGGGATGTCGAACATATCGACTGTAATGAAAGAATCGACATGCAATTCATCCTTCGTTTTGAGTTATTAAGCACTTGTCTGCGTAAAGCTTGTGCTCAAGCAGACTTCGAAATAATTATAATCACTTTAAAAGCAGGTAAATGTATCGTGTTGAACGACCGCTAGAAAAAAAAAGTTAAAAAAAATACCGAACGAGTGAAAAACAACTGTCATATTCCTGACTAGGGTACAGGCATTTTCCGAAGAAAATGCTAGGTTAAACGTGGTTTTAAAGCTAGTTAAACCTCCCACTTGTATGACAGAAAGTGAAACGCATAAAAACACCAGGTTTATCATAATCCGACTTCCTGATCGGTTGATTTTGTTTGGTCTTATGAATATTAAAAATAAATGTAACAAATATACAAATATCTCATTTGCCTTCAAAATTTCTTGGACATAAATTTTAATTTACCAATTGTTTTACTTTTGAGAGTTTATCCAAATAAAAGAGTAAAACAAAGCTGAATAGTTTTTTTTAGAATAGGTTGATACTGAAGACGCTAACCATTTGTTTTTCTTTTAGTCTTGAGTTTGAATTGCATTTTATTTCATGTTGAACTAGAAGTGTGAATGAGATTTTTCTCTGATTTGGAAGTATACAACGACAATTCTTAAATTTGTTTGCACTGTATTTTTTTTGTTTTTCTTTCCAAATTAGATGTTTGCTATAAAACAATTGTAATCTGCATAAATTTAAACTTAAAGAAAAGAACTCTAAGAAAACCATGATCCCATCTAGTTGTTACAAAACCTCCTGGATATTCTATGTTTCCTGGAACACACTTTTGGACATTATAAGTAAGTTTGTGTAAAAAAATGAAAGATAACTGTTTTACCTTTTCAAACTGAGACAAGGGTGAATTATAAGTATACATACAGTTCTGAAGAGGAATGATTTGTCGATATTTCATGATTTGTCATTGTAAAAACATGTATGAGAGAACCCATCATTGTGAATTATTTATGCTTGAAATTAAAAGTGCACAACTACATAAAGTTTTAATTCTCTTAAAAAGTTTGTTTGAATATTGAATTGGAATACCTTTTGTCCATTGTTTGATGCATCCATGTCTGATATCTAAATATCAGGAAATTGCCAAAATGAAGTACATTTCAGATAGAGTATGTATATGATCTGCGCAAAACTAGATCATTATCTAATATGACTAATTTATCATAGTTACCAAAATTGGTTTCAATCATACGTTCTTGAGACTATTTAAATGGTGGATTTTAACAGCATGGATGCACTAATATACCACGTCTTTTAAAATAGTGCGATTGGATGATTAGTAGGGCTAATACAGTTTCAGGGGAGTCATGTTACCTCCTACAATAACATTGACTGCCCAAAACAGCTTCTACCAAAACAACTGGATATCCAACACATCTATCACAACCAATGGATACCATACACAGCTACTACCATCAACAAGTATCGGGAGCGAAAAAAATATGCCACAGTTATCACCAACACGTCTAAACTTTAATGAAATACTTATCCCACTGCCAACATGATAGTTTCCGCCACTAACGAAGCATGTTTAACCCAACTCTATCCCTCTCTCTAATGGTAGAGGCAGTGGCAGTTTTATTTTTGGGGCGGGTTGAGTTGTTGCATGGACTGGAGGGGTTGCAATAACCTTATATCTAATTAAGTACTCATAGATAAAGCAAAAGCAAAACACAGTAACACAGTTCAATAACATAAAATAAAAAATGCAGCAAATAAAACATTTAACATGAACTGATAAAGTGTTAATGCGAAATGCATGTAATAAACTACTCCACAGATTTTTTTTTTTAATTTAACATATGCATTCTGCTCGTAAAAACGCAACAGCAACTACAAGAAAATTGGGGTAACCGTTTTAGATTTTGAGATGCGAGCTGTCGAAATAAACGGCATAATACGCTAAAAATTCAAAGAACATATACGGAAAATCATGAAATCGGCAGGTGATTTTACATTATGACGATTTACTAATTTATTATTTTACAGAGGTTTCTTTTTACAAATTGATATACGAATGGTGAATCGATTGCTTTTTTTTGGTGCAAAGATAGTCCTTAGGATCCTCGCTACTTTTCAAGATAAATCAGTAGAACAAATTTAAAATTTAGCGAAAAAAGAAAACAATATTCGGCGACGTTATTGATGTCTACCATCTCAGTACTGTGACGTCGTCACAACGTCTAATGCTGTATGAAAAGCGTAAATGTGTATAAACCATTTTTCCAAATTATTTTATTATTGCAAAAGCTGAAGCGTATTCAATTGATAAAAATTGACGTTAATTATAATCAAGGATAAATTTGCCCCTCCCTCTAAAACACAAAACAATTGAACGAAAGTAACTGTCGGCTTTCAATAGTCATTTTCATTTCATCACTGTACTTTCATATTTTCTAAATTAAACATCTAAATGCATTTATTTTGTAATGGCTGTATTGTCCTGAATTTTAGGAAATAAATATTAAAAGTTACTGGTCGAGTTTGATGTACCTAGTGTAATGCTTAAAGAATGTACACAGTGTGAATCTACAATAATCTACCCAGTGTGATGCTATAAGAATCTGTCTAGTGTGATGCTATACTAATTTACCCAGTGAATTACAATTTGGATATTATTTGTTATTAATGTAAAAATAATGTAATGCAACGAAACTGTTCATTATGTTATGCTATACGAATTTACTTAGTGTAGTGCTATAAGAATTGTGCCTGTATATAATTTAAATGAAGTGCACTTAATAAAAAGATTTCAGGCTGAATACTTAGCGTAATGCAACACGAATAGTATAAGTGTACATACAATTTTGACCTAGATGATAGAGTAGGATATGTTGAATTTTGGTAGTATTCCTGGAGAATTTATTAAAATTTAATGAAATTGGTTTTTTTAATTAAAAGTTAAAAAAAATCTGATTTTTAAAAGCTAGAAGAGTCAGAACTCATTGTACCTCTCAATCCGCCAAGTATTAATTGACCTATTCCCCATTTACCTTAAAGGGGTTAAAATTGCAGTAAACAAATGTCGTTTTTTTTTTCTTCTTAAAACGTCATTTAGTCATTATCTTTAAATGAAACTAGAAAAAGAAAAAGAAGGACCCTTTGAAATTAAGATTTGAAGATAATAAGGAAAAACAAAACAGTCAAGTCATACATAATAGAATAGTATAAACTTTATTTCAAATAAATGTGCACATAAGGGGGAAACATGACTTTTAACTTTAAAAACAATTAAATACATATAAGCTTGATAAAGATTTAACAATATTTGAGTAATTATCAAAAATAAATGTATCGGTTACCGAACCTTAGTCGGACTCTATCTTCTAATATCATAAAATGGATCATCTATTTCAACTTGGTAAAGATTTCAAAGAAGCAGATCTCATTAATTCCATAGGTCACATTCGGGGAAAGGAGGATTGGATTGTGATAACGACGATCGGAACATATCCGTCGTCATCTGTGAAACAGATATTCCATAACGGCCAACCAACTCGGGATGGCGTCCGTAAAATGTTCGAAGGGATGACTTCAACGTATCACTTGGAACTATTGGTTTAATAGCTTCCTTGTGAATAGCAACCCTCTATCAAGGAAATCATGATAAGATATTTAAAACGTAAATAAACAATGTCTATTGCATTGTTGTTAATGTCTGAACTATTGCCGCATATAAGTTTTTTAAGCTTTCTTTTCGTTTCACAGATATATAACAATATTGCAAATGTTTAAAAAAATCCATTCACAAAATTCATTTGTTTATAATTCGGATCATCGTAGCGAAATAACCTTGAGCAAAATCAACTCTTCTAAAATATTTTACTAATTATTGCCCTCCGATTTAAAAATTTATTGTTGAAAAATATACCATATCATTTAGTATGGAGAAAACAAAATTGAAGTCACTGAAAGGAAAAACAAATAATGCACTAAAATCTTCATCACAACTAATTTTGCAGTTTCACAGTTATCTGCTTTAAAGAATTTATCTAGCATGATTCCATAGTCAATAATAAAGTTTCGTAGCAATAAACAGACCCGCATATAGCACAATCTAAACCCACCTAAATTGAAGGCCTAGATCTATACCAGAACTTGCACTGACGTCTAGTTAAGCACTTATTCGTACCATTTTAAAAGCTTCTAAAGTCAAACTTTTAATGTAGCCAGTACTTGATGAAAGCTATTGAATATCTTAATTAAATAATCAAATAATATATTTCGAACAAATATTAACACTATTGCACATAACTCATAATCCTTACTCATGAAATCTTGATCTTTTGAAAATGTTTGATTGTTTTGTTTTTGTTTTTTTAGTTATCTTATCCAATTTTGAGAAAAGAGCTACAGTTGGCTGCCGAAATACCACCTCCCCTTCCAAAGAAAACACCAACATAGATCAATCCCTTGTAGTAGTAATATATTCATTTGATATTACAAAAAAAAAATAAAACAAATTTTGGAAACAAAATAACCAACACCATTCTCTATTCTTTAATTCATTAGGCTATGTTTCTCTGTTCTTTATACTTTTTGCCCATTTTTCTCTATTCTTTATATTTTTTGTTCATTATTCTCTATTCTTTAAACTACCATCAACACCCTCATAGATATTTTAAAGATTCAATATTCTATATTAATTTATTGTTATAATAGACCTAAAACAATATCTAATCCACCTTAACTGAAGTCCTAAATATATACCAGCACCTGAAAGCTAATACTTGTGTTATGTTTTATACATGTAATAAAGCGTTACTTTGATCCCACAATTAGTTTTTGACGATATCTACGAATAGCACTTACTTCCTGGTAAAGAAGATTCAAATAAAACGAATTGTATCATATATTTGTATGCTACAAGTAATTTTAAGCCATTCAACGGGTAATTAGTTAACGTATTTATTATCAAAATGAGATCATAATGGTTTATCTTTAAATAAAAGGCATGGTAGAGGGTCTGCACTGTCAGTTTACTTGCAAAAAACGCAAGAGAAGCCAATCAAAAAAAAATCCAATTTCAAATAACACTTCACAGAAAACCGAAATTTTAGCAAGCTTAACCTCATCCAAAACTCGATGGTGAAATCAAGGTGCAACGTAAGAGAAAGTTGTACTTGTTTCACTAATGGCTCCAGCTATATTGCTGATAGTATGTACAAATCTAGCAATAAATTGCATTCGATATTGCTAAAGATCAGGAATGCATACATGGTCATATATGACACAGTTATGATAAGATATTCTGTAACAGATATCAAAATGATGATGACGTCACAAGTCGATGACGTATACTTACAACTTTGGAAAGTGAACCGTGCAGTTTACCATTAAGAATCATTGTTAATGATCTGCATGTTGTAACGTAGCAGTCCTCTATGGAGGAGTTCATGTTCTTAAAAGCAAGCAATGGAAAATGGTGTCAACGGGGGGTTTATACTTCATATGTTAATATGCAAGCGATACTAAAGTATCGCTACACAGAAATAGTTTAAAATGAACTTAACATTTAGGGTAATAATTTATTGTGATAAAATATATTCCTTAAATTTAAAACATGACTCATTATTTAACAAAGAAGACATGTATCTGTTTAGTTTACAAAAAAAAAAAGAGAGAGACGTTTTCATTTACTAAATGTAGTTGCTTTTATTCATTCGAATATACTGCAGGAAGATTTAAAATAAGTATGTTTCAGTTTTATTGTCTTTGTTATTTTTGACTTTAAAAGATATGTTTTAGATCTATTGCGTTTCAATTTCATTCCAAATTATGCGTGGGCATTAGTAGACCTTTCACATGTTTTTGTTAAATTGTTAAGGGTAACTTTTATTACATGTATAGTCATTTATTCTATTGAGATTAATGTATATATTATTAAATTTGGAGAGAAATCATGATAATATTTCCTGATAATATGAATCTAAATGCAATTGAAATGTCATACAGAACTAAAAAA